CCTGGAAATAAAAAAAAAAATAAAAAAAAATAAAAAAAATGTTTTCTTTTTAGGAGACTTATTTTGTAGTTTTCATAACATCTCTTTTATTTCCTTCTTACCTGCAATCTCCTCTTTGTGATTCTCTATGATCATTGCTGCTTGTCTTCATATATTCTTTTGTGATTTTATTGCATAAACGGTCATAGCTGCAAAAGGAAGTATAGCAGTCATACTTACTTCTCTGCCCATCACTGATTTCTTGTTCTGCATTTCATCTTCCTGTTTTGAAATAACTAAATTATATCCATTCCTACCTTTTTTTAATGCAACTGATGCATGTGTATTTTGTACTCACTTCTATTTTCACCTCCTTCTTTAGGCACAGTTAATTCTCAGCACCCCTCTGTCCTTTATCACTGGGAAACTCAGTTTCAAGTATTGGCGGTGTCGGTTCCACTTTCAACATAGCAGTGAAGCATTTCTTTTCTGGCTACATGCATTATTTTCCTTGTTATTATTCACCTCACTAGAATATCTCACCACCCCATTCTCACATCTTTTATAGCTTTTTATTTCTCAACCTTACATCATCATTAGTTCATTATTTTCTTTTTATTTCCTAGCTAGCATTTACTTCTCTCATATTTCATGCTTCAAGATTGTGTTGTACCTTGGTAAATAAATACTCTCGTAATTAGCGCGTATCATCTAGGTCCAGGCATTCCTTGAGGAACTGTAAGATGCTCTCAGGTTAAAGATATTCCTTTGTTTTCAAGTTGCATCTGATTGTCATTTTGTTTATTCCATTTGAGCAATTGCTTTTCTTTCCTTTATTCTGATCCAGGGCCGTAGCAAATTCACTCAATCTTATTACCTGGACACCTCTTCTCTAAGTACCTTGTCAGTATCTTCACTGGAAACTCAATATGTTCTTTTTTTTACTCCTAGGACTGTCCACAACAAACCGCTTTGCACTTTAATACACTCAAATACTAGCTGTATATCCTTTTGAATACTGTATCAACTGAATTCTTTTTTCTCATGTGGCCAATCACTCCTCCTAATTATTAAGACAATTCATCCCTTTTCGTAGGCCAACTCATTCAATCTCACTATTATGCTAAGGTAGTAGCACTGGCCATCTGCTGTTTGCTCTTAGTTCTTGAATTCTTGCTCTCACACAAACACAATAAACCATCCAACGCTATCCCCACCTGATAAGCCAAACTTCCCTAAGCCACATACCTGGCCCTCACGCTAATCCTTCCCTTTCTCCTTTCTGCGCACGTCCTTTACTCGATTGATGAACCGAGCCTCGCAGTGAAAGCATCCTAGGTGTCAATGCTATGAGCAGATAGATTTGATAACTGTTTTTGTTTATCGTTTATGGGCTGGTTGCGCCCTGTTCTATGGTAATAAGCAAGGGGGACCTACATCCCAGCCAAAGGGATACAGATAGCCCTTAAATAAAAACAGTGGTCATCTGAGGAGGAGAAAACACACCGGAATGCAAGTTAACGCTATTTAATATATTATAATACAATACAATTGAAGCTAATGAATCAAGCTGGAAGGTTGAAGAAGGCATGTTTCTCGTACTTATTTTCAGAGGGAAAGATGAATCTGTTTAGAGATCAAGAGAACGCCACACAGTCCGCTCAGGGATGTAGCATGTATTTCTGTTTTGAGAGCCAGCTATCTTGAAATATCAGCAGTCCACAGAACTGGAATATTTGTTCTTTAACCCCGATGCACTGCGTGATATTATAATGTGAAATACAGTTCAAAAAAGAAATCCTGAAGCCTTGACGCTTGTAATTTGATTCCTAATAATACCCAGAACAGACCTGCCCGGAAGACACTTTGGGTTACCGAAATTTGACCGCCGCTTCCTAGTCCCTGTTGAACATCTCTTTGAACGATTGTCGCTGTTGGATATGTTCTCCTTTTCTGAGAACTGAACAACCCTGGTGCTTTAGTAAAATGACAGTCCCAGTTTAACTGAAGGAAATGCGTTCTTACCACCCAGCTACAGTTTTACTCGTGATTTCTAGTTTGTGGGATTAATTGCACCTACGTGCTTATCCAGTCGCTTGAACTTGAAAACTCCTTGCAAACGTGTTAGAACTTGATCCTCACTGCCGTCCCCTTTATGAGTTATGAGCTACTAATAGACACGTAGCGAGACCAAGAACCTCTCCCTCCTGAAGAAGGTGGCAAAAAAATTCAGAAGCTGAAGAAGAGGCAAAAAACTGTCTGAAGTGAACCTTGAAAACTTAACTCCCAACTACCGTAAAGAGTCCAACATAGAAACCAAAATTAGTAATAAAACCGTTCAGACTCATCAAGAAGTTAATAATGTTACAGGTAACACAACTGGATCAACATTTGAGACAATTACATCTGTAAAGGATGGATAAATAAATGAAATCATGAGTGTATTATTGATCAAGACTGTGAAATGAGAAAATATTGCCAGTTCTCCACCTTTGAATATTAGTGCCAGCCCTGTAAAACCCAGCAATGCCTGGTTTACCACTTTGCTTCTTACTGATCTCAGCGTGTCACTACCTATCCAACTGTAGTTCTTTTCATTCTCTTCGGCAGAACTTCTCAGCGAATAAAACCCCACAGCTACCCTCGTGAACCTGATTGAGCGCTTCGAGTCCTAAAGCGTGCTTCAAGTCCTAAAGTTCAACTCCAAGCCAACTTTCAAGCCCGTTCCTAAAAGCTTTTGAGCCCTTTCACTAAAAACTTGCAGCCTACTCCTTACCTATTTAGTCCAGGGTTCAACCGTGCCCCCGCAATTAACGCAGTAGATGAAATAAGCTACGCACCCCCGTTATGCAACTCACCCCATGCTGTGTCGCAGCAGGATTGATCGTGCTACATCATGATCATCCTACATCATGCTAATTAGGACCTAATTCTTATAAACACAAAGATACATTACTGTTGTCCTCACAGCCCTTGACCTATCCTACCCTTTAAATTCTCCTGACGTGACACGCACCGTGAATGGCCCCCTTCCCCAAAATAGCCTTATAAGATGCTTCTCCTCATAGATTACTTTTAATTCCCTAGTCGACTGATCCAGCTCCTCAAGTATTCTAAACAAAGGACGTGAAATGGCCTCCCGCTTAACTGATAAATCGTGACAAGGAAACTCAACTAGCTCAACCTTCTCAGGATTGCTTTTTCCCTAAGAATCTTAATTATCTTATCAACACATAAGAGAAACATTGGCATTCAGCCTTATGAGCAACTTCACTTACGTAGTATTTCTTCGTAGAGCAAGACTGTCAGACTCAGTCCAGAAGGTTCCCTCGACGCACTGAAGAGGGCTTTTCGATGCAGGTGACAGACGAGCGGACGAGGCAAAGCGTTCTGCTGGACTCTCTTCTCACTAACAAGGATGGGTTGATTGGGTAACTTGGAGGGCGGGGGCGGCCTGAGATGCAGTAACCTTATGAAAGAAGCAAGGTAATAAGTGAAGTAGCAACCCTGGACTTCTGGTACATACCTGGAGGTATCCTTTGCCGAAGAGTGTTGGAAGATAAGTAGTCCAAGACAGCTGGTCAGAGCTTAAGCATCACCTTTTTTCAAGCGGAAGATCCACGCAGCCTTAAGAGATAAAGAAAAACAGGCAGGAGACTTTCACGGATGAACAAGGAGCTCATAGATACACCACAAGCAAAGATGACATTCCCTCCCCCACCCCAGGTACCTAAACGATCAAAGGAAAACAATGCAAGTTCACTGCTTAAAGAGGGTGCCCCAGTAACAGAGGATGCTGAACATCTACTGTGCTTCAGTCTTTACAGCTAAGACTGCCTCTCAGAAAACCTGGACTCCAGAGGTGAGAGAAAATCCAAGGAAATGAGGAATTCCTTCTATCCAATGAAGATCTGATCCGCAAACACCTACTAAATGAAGAAAAACCATGCGTACATCCGTGGGCCCCATTGGGATGCACCCGGAATGCGGAGGGAAGCTAGAAGCAGCGATTGCCGAACCACTCGTATTTGAAAGCTCTGGAGAATGGAAGAGGTACCTGAAGACTGATGGATAGGTAATTCGCTCCAGTCATCAGGAAACGCGAGGAGGACGCAGGCAGCTACCATCCAGTCAGACTCACCTTCGTCCCCGGAAAAGCGATGGAGCAAAAACTTCTGATTCTTATCCCCACACAACAGAAGTTTATCCAAACTCGGGAAGAGTAGATTTTTTAGGTTAGATATAAGGAAGAAAACATTTTACAGTGCAGGTGCTAAGGCACTTAAAGAGATTACCTGATGTTTTGTGATTGATGCCACATCCCAGGAGACTTTCGGGGCGAGGCTGATCGGGCTCTGGGCAACCTCATCTGCTGTGGTGTCCCTGTTCCCTGCAGGGGAGTCGGACTAGCTGGCCCTCGGAGATCCTTTCCAACTCTAAAGATTCTATAATCCAGACAAGCGAGTAGTGGAACTTGTCTACTTTGACTTTAGCAAGACGTTAGGTTCTGTCTCACAACAGCCTCGTAGCGAGACTAAGTAATTGCAAGATGAATGAGTAGACAAGGAGGTTAATTCACCTCATTGAATTGAGAACTGGCTGACCGGCAAAGCTTACAGAGTCATGAACGGCAGTCTAATTAGAGGCCTGTAACTCCAAGTGTTTTCCACAGTCAGTACTGAGCCCGGTTCAAGATCTTGATCGGTCACTTGGAGGAAGGGCTAGAACATACCTGCGGCAAATACGATGACAATAAGAGCTGGGAGGAGTGGATGACATCAGAAGGCCGTACTGCCTCTCCGTGAGGCTTGGACAGACTGAAAGTGGGATGGAGAAGAACCTGATGAGCTTTGCCAATATTAAGTCCCTGCACTTAGAGAGAAATAACTGTACAAATCAGTACGGTGAGGGACTGACCTGCCAAAGAAGAGCTCCACAGCCAAGGAACTGGGTGTCCTGGTAGATGGCAGGCTGGCCATGAGGCAGCAGTATTCTCCAGGCTGAACGGTCCAGGCCACGGAGCACGGAAGACAGAAAGGCAATCTTCTAACTGTTTATGCAGTCCGAAGTATCAAGTCAAGTAGATGGAAGCAGGCTCTTTTCAGTGATGCGCAGCAACTGTAACGCAGGAAATTCCATACAAACATAAGGAAGAGCTTTACTTTGAGGGTGATGGAGCGCTGGAACAAGCAGCCTGCGGAGGTGGAGTCACCTTCTCTGGAGAGATTCGAGACCTACCCAGACAGTCTTACTCCAGAGAATTTACATTAGCTAGGTCATTTGGCTAGAAAATTGAGTCTCTAGAGGTCCCTCCTTTTAACCCCTGTGATTCCGTGGACATCTTGCAGAGCTCAGAAGTCCCATCCCTTACCAAAGGGACTCCCTAGTCGATCTCTCCATCTCAAACGTGCCTGATGATATTCCGGATCCCTATTAGGGATCTGCCTCAATCCAAATTCTTATACTTCTACTAGCTAGATGTTGTGCCACAGGTAGGTCCCTCACCTTCACCCGTGTAGTCCACGCTTGCCAAAACGTACAATACATTTCACTAATTCAGAACTTACCCTCAAACCTTACCTCATTCTTCCTTACCTGAATTTGCCCTGTTGTCAGCTATGGTTTCTGTTACGGCTCCTACCTGTAAAGAAACCTGAAACACAGCAGTCATCTTTGAGCTCTTACAGCAACTGGCTTTGTGGGCTACGCTCTGCTATGAGAGGAGACAACTGAGGAACTGCAATTAAGTGATTTTTTTTCCACCCTGTTATATAGGACAAGACCTGATTAAATGACCTTTAGCAGGTCTTTAGCCCTACGCTTATTAACACCATTGCATCTCAGGTGTTAACATTATCTACTTAAATTCCCTCACAAATGAGACTTAAACAACCCCTAGCAATTTTATCCAATTGCAACAAAATCCCCTTCCACCCTTAGTTCTCCTTAGGAGCAGTTCTAGGATTCAAGCTAGCCTTGTTTTGCACAGCTTTCTAAGAAACCCAGAAAATTTCACCCCAGTAAATTCACGACTTAAACCGCTTCACATCAAGCTTGAACGATAATCGCTCTTCACATACATTACCCTATTCCCAAATCCCAACGAGCTTGGAAGAACTCGACCATTAGATGCTCCTAGTGATCTTGTTCCTTACCCTCTTCTGTTAGAAGTTCAAGCAACAGACAACAGTATTCCACCTCCTTTCTCAACTTTATTCCGATTCCCCTTAGCTTGTTTCCCCATTCTAACTTGAGTGCGCAGCCAGCTGGTATAACACCCTTTCAAGCAACTGGCCTCTCACACATTCTTTGTGATCTTGCAAGTTCTCTTCCCTGTAATTAGAACCAGAAAAGATAATTACTCATTAGAGCAGTCTAACAGTTTAATAACATCGGTCTTGTTAACTAAAGATTAAGAGTCACGCTCTTCTTTGAATGCTTTCTAGGATGAAAACAACTTCAGTGGTTTCTGAGAACAGTTCACTGTAGAAGACTTTCTTTTCTTTGAGAGCTACAGATGAACTTCTGTAATACCCCTAGCAAGGTAAACCCTACACCAGCTCCGGTAGGAAAAATCCCTATCGAGCCAATAGAGACAAGCCCATCCCTTAAGAGTAAATGGTAACAATCCTGCTGAGGTCTAACCACACAGCATACATATCCACCCCATTAACAGTAGCTACTTAGTTTTGTCTAAAAGTGAAAAAAACATAAATGCTCAAAACCAAAGCTCTAGAACGGAGCGTAACCCTTACCTTATCACTTGCTAACTTCCCCAGCTAGGGATGAAAAAAGTTACCGACGCGCATCTCCAGGTAGAAGTGTAGGAGTTAAGAGGGACTTCTAGGGGTTTAAAGTCCAATTCACCTTCTAAAGCAGGTCCCATGCAGCAGATCACACAGGAAGCAGGAAGAACATCCGGGCTTCTTTTGAATGTCCCCAGAACAGAAAATTCCATGACCTTTTTGAGCAGCCCGCTCCAATACTCAGTCATTCTAAGAAAGAAAGACTATGAGAAACTTATACACAGCTTCTACTTGTATCCACTTACCCTGTCAACATACACCACTGAGAAAAGCTTGTCCCCATACAAAAAGACTATAAGTAACACCAGAAAGACACACAAAAAAAGCCCTACTAGATTTAATAACCACCCACACCTTATTACATACCTCAACAGCAAATCCATCACGACATACCTCATGCTTATAAAAAGAGACACAACAGTTACACCAAGGCACAACTACTGCCAGCAAGTCACCTGCAAACCTAGGACTCCACACAGCAGCTCCCAGCCCTCGACCTGCCTCTTTATACTGCCTTCAGTCACAGCACTTCCAATGAGGCAATCGGCCACGTCCAATGAGAAATGGGAGAGCTATTGGCTCTATTGGCTGACGGTGATTGCGCTGCAGCTGTAGGTCTTCCCACAGCAAAGTGTTAACAGGTGAGCAGCGAGCGACAGCTGAGCAACTAATTGAACCTTCTGTTCGAGTACCGGTGTGACTCACGCTGCTCAAGGTCGTGCAAATTTTTGACACGCTGTATTGTCAAACCACACGATCACACGTAGTTTGGGCTGTTTTTCTAGTACAAGTTAAGTATTACTAGCTTGATAAAAGCTCTAGAGGATAGTCGAGCATACTGAATTTGGTCTTAGATTTCTTGATTCCTTACTGCAGATGCTAAAATGAATCTGCTTAATGCTGTGGGAATCCTTATGTTGGTTTGCTCAGATCCCAAGAAACCAGAAGATCAAAACGTTGCTTTAATTATAATCTCTTTTTAATTCCTCTCATCTTAAAATGACAGCGGTAGTACTATTTTACTTAATGGTATGAAGCATAATCTCTTTCAACAATAGCTACTGCTACATACCTTGGAATTTCCCTAAATGACACTGAGGTTATGTTCTGTCTCCCGTATCTGCATACTCACGTTCTCAGTGGTTGTGTACTGTAAAGAGTTAATGACCCCTTTTTTTCCTAGGAACGCTAAAACTCCATTAAAGTAAAAGGAGATTTTAATGAAATACAACTTGGCTTTACATCTCATCGGTAATGTATCTTTGCAACCTACTGAGGATTGCATCTCTCCTATGGAAGATTCGCTTTAAAAAAGTTAAAAACAGACTGTAGCCTTAAGTCCTCTTGTCAGTGAGTAAACAAAGCCCACCCACTTACCCCTCAGACCATAAATAGCACCAAGGAGGCGGAGTTGGTGGCTGGCTGATAAACTTCCCCAGGTAGGAAAGTTAGAAGGAGTGAAAACCTTTTGCAAAGTCAGGCTCTAGTGTTTGGTTTTAATTTAAAAAAAAATGCCAGAATTTATCAAATAAAATGGTATTCAATTCATGCTTTTTAATGTAATTTTCAGGGATGTTCATGTTACCGGGCATCTTGTTGCTGACTTCTTTGGTCTGAGAACAAGTCACAGGATGTGCGGAAGTCATAGTTCAACATTAATAAGCTTTGTGGTTTTACGTATCTTCTCCTTTTTTTCTTTTACAAGCCAATTGTATCTGAATTCAGTGTGGTGTTAATTACAGTTTCTCTCTCATTATTCAAAGCCATTGTGAAACATGGTCCGACGCTCTCAAATGAAATTGTGGCAGGATAATTTAAGAATGTTCACGTGTAGAGATGGGACTGAGTGTTGAGCAGGACCGTTAAAAAAGATAGCAGGAAGGAAATATAATAAGCAAAATGAGTTGGTGTTATTTCTGAGCTGCAATCTGGTCGCTCTGTTTTGCTTTACCTTTTTCTCTTGTTTGTTTGAGAGAGAGATTCGCAAAGGCTGTTTGAAGAGGAGAATTTCTTGTTAGAGAACGCAAAGGAATCTAAAAATGTAATCTGAGGTGTAATCATCTTCCCACTATGTTTGAATAGCTGTTTTGTAGTGGGTTTCCTCAAGGAGGTGTGTGTTTAATACTATTTTCCCATTGCTGTCATTCAGATGTAGGACAAACAAACATTAATCTAATAACTTATGTAATCAAACTTAAATTTGGGGTTTGAGCCACAGAATTTCAATCAGCGTATAGCCCCTTCAGGAAAACCCGTGACCGTGTTTCAACTCAATGTCTACAAAGAAACACCCTAAAATTACCAATGAAGTCTATCACGTTGTGGTCACTGACCCAACGTTCTGAAACAGGTTCTTCCATGCTTCTGTCTGAAACCTGCCTCTGGGCGCTGTTAAGAACGATCGCTTTGCTGAACTTGTTTAATTTAACACTTGGCGTACCTGTCCTGTAGTGGCCTAGGGTGGCAAATGAAAAGCCCTTAAAGATGGCGGGGTGTTTTAGTGCTGGAGTGTGGGGCAGCACGACAAGATGGAGCCTCTGTAAAAAATATGTTTTTAATGAAGACTGAGAGCCTGTCAAAGGTGTATGATTGAATATCTAATATTTTCCTGTTGCATAAGAAAGAAATCAAGTTCAACTTATAAGGAAGTGCGTGTGATGGTTTACTTCAAAAAAGACAATAAATAAATAAATAAATAAAAAGAAAACCTTCTCAGGATTTTCCTCTTTCACTGCTTCTATTTGTTTTTCCACAACTGACAGATTTTATGGCAGTTTTTCAATGCAAACACATTGCTCAGGTACAGAAGAAGAGTAGAAATATGGCATGAGTGGAGAATGACTACTAGGACAGATGGTAGAAAACATAAAGCTCCTCTAAAGCTCCTCTATATAAGCGAAGAGTTTGTGTTGTAAATACATAACAAATCAGCACAGGAAACAGTAAGGCCTTTAAAAATAGACAGTGACATTTCTTAGAGAAAGCAAACGTAGCTTGAAAAAACAAAGCCATTTTGTCTGCCTTTAGAAAGGCAAGCATTAAAAAGTGTAACAGAATCTGGATTTCCAAAGGTAAGCGGTACTATTTGAAACAGAAATGAGATCAGGTTAGGAAAGAGAATCTAAAAAACAAAAAGACCCCAAAATATTAAAATCGTAGAATCACAAAAACACCGAGGTTCGACAAAAACCTCTGAGATCATCCATTCCAATCGTCCACCTATCACCAATATTTCCCTCTAAACTGTGTCCTTCAGTACATCTAAACATTTCAATGCCTGCATCTGCCTAAATGTTGCGGTATTTTGAAGTCCAAAGAAAGACAGAGAGTCTGTATTCAGAAATGTGAGAGAAGCCCAGTAGGAACATTCCAAGGAATATTCTTGTTCCTGACTTTTCTCATATGCTCCTTGAAGGACGACAGATGGAGGAGAGTGCAGAAAGGATTTGTTGTGGTAGTACGGATTTTGTAGGTAGAGCACAAAATACCCGCTTTGATTTACTCATCAGATCATAGAATCGTATCACAGAATCACGGAATGGCTTGGGTTGAAAAGGACCAGAATGATCATCTAGTTTCAAGTCCCCTGATCCATGATCTCAAATTAACATAGAGTGATAACAGATTTTTTCTTTCAAAGGCAACATCTCTATTTCCAGTATGACGCTTGAAATTAACCTGCTTTGTCAAATGCAATTCCAGCTAAAAAATAGGACAGTCTGTAACAGGGTGGAACGAAGTTGCATGATTTAATGTTGTGAGAGGCTGGGATTTCAGTGGGAGTTAAAACTGAAGGATTGAGTAACCTGGAAATATCAGACTGAAACTTCTTTGCGAGTCGTGGGATATCATGAATTTAAGAAGTGATAATGAAAGAATCACACCTAAGTGTTTTTGCTGTAAGGAAGGAGTAGCACCTGTTTTAAAGTTTAATGTTTGGAAACCCTAACACGTCAAAGTGCTTAGTTCAAACTTCAGTGCGTTAGTGAAAGGAGGAAAGTTGCATGTGTACATGACTTGGATTGTTGAAGTCCCGCAAATTATATTAGGTGGGATGCAGTAGACTGTAAAATTGGAAAATGGATATTGTAACTTCATTCAAAGAATGCAAACTTGTACGAGGAAATTCAATGTTTCTGTGGGGTTTGTTTTGAAAAGATAATTAATGGCCTGTACTTATTTTATTGGAAGAGGAAGAACTTCTGCAAAGCATCTTAGAGCAAATCGATGAGAGAGGCTGCAGTTGTCACGCAGCGTTCACGGCGCTGTCAGATGAATAACCAGTTTTAGCTTCTCGGTAAATCGGCAGAAAGTTAACTCCTTAATAGCGTGAATAACAGGCAAATGTGCATACATTTTATATTTTAAAAAAAGAAAATGAGAATGAAATAACTACAATTCAGGCATCCAGGCAGAATAGATAATTATGCATGGTATTTTAACAAGAGAATGACCTGAAACAAAGGCTGGAGCGGTGTGGGCCAGCTGCAAGCTCGTCTACTGTTAGATAGATCCTCTTAATAACCTTGTCCTGAAGAGTAAGTCTGGGATATAATGACTCCTAATTTAAATATTACCATTGAAGAGGTGGATATTTGTCCTCTGCAGCTTCTTTTCTGAAATTCACTGTATTTGAACTCCTCTCTGACTCGCGTTGGTTTCAGAAAGAGAGGGTGGGGGTCGTGCATCCTCACGCTGGAAGACCAGAGCAATTCCTGCATCATTACTGGAGCGCACAGAAACCTTTGCTAGTCTTCTGTCCGTGGATGTAGGTCAGCCCAGCAAAGCTCTAAAAAAATCAGTGGAATATCTCTGAGTTGAAATGGATGTGATAGAATTACATGACTTACTGTTCAATAATGAATAAAAGAAAAAAAAAAAAAAAAGGAGAAAAAACTCCAGGTTGGGTCCTGTCTTGTTACACTGATGCTTCGTTGTGGCACGTGGTAGGAATTTCATTTGTTTAAGATACAGCTGTTGAGTTTGACTGTATTTCGTAGAAAAATAGATTAATAGCTCCGATTTAAAGCAGCTGAAAAAAAATATGTTAGTCTTGTCTACTCCTCATCCCCTTTTCTTGCAGTGTTTTCTCTTGTCAGCTTTGAATATTTTTTTGTAATATTCATTTAAAGTAATTAGACACGCTATAGCAGTCAGCTGTCACAGCGCTGTCAGCACAATTTCTATGTTTTCAAACTTTCTGCCGATTTCTGAGCTACGTTCCTATTTTTTCTCAGCCTCGACCGCAGCAGTCTCATGGTCGTTATAAAATGGCTGTGCTTCCAAATGGCTTTGTTTGGTGACGCCTGGTGTGTTCAGAAGAGTTGTGGATGCTCACGGAAGAACGACCCAATAAAGGAAAATAATCCATTGAAGCAGGCAGGGGATGTAGGGTTTACTTCTACAAGTGTTTTTCGTTGAATAACAGCGTATTCTGAGTGACGGGTAGGTGGAAAATCTAAGTAAA